ACACAAGACACATAAAAAGGCAGTCACACATCACAACGACAAGCCATCACAGCACAAACACAATGAACACCACGGCACGCTCACATCCAACGAGACACAACGTCGGATTGAGAAAACAACCGACCACAGAAGACAAAGGCATCATACAAAGGAATTTACAAAAAATTCAGCAAAAATGGTTTTCGTTGTGATCTTTTGATGGCTTGACTTGTATTTTTGTTTAATTTTGCTTCAATTTTTGCTGTATTTGTGTGGTATTTTTGCTGAATTTTTGTGTAAAGTCCTTTGTATGATGTCTTTTTCTTCTGTGATCGGTTGTCTTTTCAACCCGACACTGTCTCTTGTTTGATGTGAGCGTGCCGTGGTGTTCTTTATGTTCGTGCTGTGATGGCTAGTAGTTGTGATATGTGTGACTCCCTTTTTGGCTGGGGCTTGGGGCAATTACCCTCGGAAGAAATGTCATGTACTTTGACATATTCGATCCCCTGTATTCTGTAGAATACCTTTTTGAATTGCTTTTGCCCAAATTTACGTTCTGACTTGATTCATAAAAGGTATTCTTTGTCATGATGGGGCTCGAAATATTTCTATATCTTTGTTGCTATTCTGAATAAGTTCAGGCCATTTTTGAGGGCTTCAATAATTCAAATCTCAACATGAGATAATGGGGTTGGAAGTATATTACTTCTGGTTGAAAATTAAATTTTCATTTTTTTTTTTTTTTACCAATTTTGTTCGCGCATCAAAGCCAGCTGCCAAAGGGATAGCTTGCCAACCCTGAGCAGATCTGACCATGCCAAGAGACCGCCATGCCATGGCCTGCGATGGTCAACAACGACGACGTGCAGCAACTATCGACACCTTCTTTCCCATTCAAGGTGGGCTCCGCGTGTGATGTGGCCCACTTTCTAGCCAGCCTCATTAGGCGCACGCTCTGATTGCGGCTTCCAATAGGGACCCGATCTGTTGCCACAGCTTCAACGACCGTGGCAGATGAAGTTGCCGACGTTGCCGCCAGTGCCCAACCGCCCGTGACCGCAGAAAGAGCCCCATCGCCTTCGGCTGCGAGCACGCAGGCGCCATCATCGCTCCTTCCATGCCCTCGACCTCCACCAGGTGTTCCCCTGCCGATCAATTTAGGGTGAGTCGATTGTCGAGCCCTTTTTTGTTGGTTTGCTTGTTTTTGATAATGTGACAGCAGCCCTACGCAGCTGTGTTGACCGACATAACCTGGTTGAATTCTCATCGATGTCGCTTCGCTCTATTAAAGGTATATGTCCAGTACAGTGTAATGTGTGTGGACAAGGCGATTGTCACAGAGGTATCCAACCAGTCGAAGTGTACACGAGAACATGGATTGAAGCAAGGCGAAGGAACAAGACAGAACAAGACAGAAGGAGGGAAGTGGAACGACCGAGGTCAAGAAGGAAAATGGTACCGATCCAGGGAGATCGCTCCCATTTATAGCAGGTGGAAACACACACACACAGTGGAGACAGAGAATGGACTATCACACTGAAGACAGGTGGAAGCGATATCAGCAATCTGTTGGGACCAACAGATGCCACAACAAGATGATACACCAAGATGGTACAGCAAGATGTTACACAACAAGGTGGGACAACATCAAGTACCAGAGGACACACAACGTGGTAAAGTATACCGTCTCAGATTGTGCCTCTAATACTCCCCTTCAAGCTGAGAACGGAAGAGCATGTCACACAAACGACGATGGCTCGGTCCATTGAGCAGCTTGGTGAGAAGGTCAGCAACCATGTCCTTGGTCCCGCAGAACCGGACATCGAGCTGGTTGCGTTCATACCTCTCTTGCACAAAGCGATACTTGACAGCAATGTGCTTGGAGCCCGGAGAGTTGGCTCCGTTTGTAATCATGTGGATCGCCGCCTGGTTGTCACTGAGCAACACGGGCTTGAAGACGGCGTGTGAGAGTTCACGAACCAAATGATCAACAAACCATAGTCTCGCTGGCC